GGGCTCGCGCCCGCCGCGCCCTCCCGCCCGGCTTCGCTCCCCTGCGAACCCCCGCGTTGAGCCGGCGCACGCGCATAGGCAGCTTGCCGCCCACAGCCGGCCAGCCTGGACTCGCGCACGCGCACCACTCTCCTAGAACCCCCTGCCCGCCGCTAGCTTCCGGCCCGCGCACGCGCACGACGGTGCCTCCCTGGGCAAGTGGGGCGCGCGTTGCTGCACTCCTCTCGGTTTCAGCATCTGCAGGCACATAAAACTGTTTTCCCTTTGGCATTCAGTGCCTGAGGCCCTGGGGCAGAAAAACGAAATCTCGGGTGCGAGCTGAGTGCCGGGCGCGTGGGCCGCGTGGAAGCAGCGAAACGGACTCTGCACTCTGCGCCCGGGCGCCACCAAGCTGGAGACGGGCTGGAAGCGTTTCTGGTGCAGCTCGGCGCCCTCTGCCAGGGAACTGGGAGGCAGAGCGGGGAGGGAGTGCGGAGGGTTCTCGCACGGTGGCCAAGGGCTGGCGGGTCTTCTAAGTTGCCCGCCCTGGGCTCGAAGTTATTGCGACCCTCCTGCCTCAGCCTCCCAGAGTGCTGGGATTTACGTTTTTTGTAAGGAGGGGTTACCATTCTTTTCCCTGAAGACAAAATCCAACTAACGAGCTGGGCATGGTGCTGCACTGCAGTAATCCCAGCACTCCGGAGGCTGAGACAGGAGCACCACTGAGTTCAAGACCAGCTTGCACTATATAGTGAGACTCTGTGTAGGAAAAAAAAAAAAGCCAACGAACATGCTGTGATCCACGCAAGGGTGTGGTGAGGTTAAAGTATAACTCTAGCTCCAGCTGTGTAGGGCTTTGGGATGAAGGGGGGACCCTGGAGGAGTTAAGCCCCACCTGGACCCGTCACCTCCCTTCGCTGGACCCCAGTCCCAGGGTCTTTACACCCAAGCCCAGAAGTGTAAAAGACTGCCCTGGTCCCCCACCAGGCCCGGGACACGGTCTAAATCCCAGCATCATGAATGTGTGTGTGAAGGAGAGCTAGAGCTGCTCTTCCCAGCCGGGCAAGGCTTCCGCAGAAAGGGAGCAGGCAGAACAGGGTGGTGGAGTCCTTACAGCGGCCATTGGTGTCAGGTGCCGAGGGCAGGGGGAGGAGAGGGGAGCTGGCTGCGCCCTAACAAGCTTGGTTCTTCCCCAAGACAGAGAAAGTGACAGCCGGGAGCAGTACTCGGACTCTCTTTTTTCTTGCCCTGGGGATTGAACCCTGTACCTTGTACTGAGCTGCATTGCCCTCCCTTTGTTTACATTTACTTTGAGATAGGGCCTTGCTAAATTGCCCAGGTTGGGCTTGAATTTGACATCCTCCCGCCTTAGCCTCCCAGAGTGCTGTGATGACAGGCATGCACCATCAGGCCTGGCTTCCTGGGACATCTTTGTCCCCCCCTCTGTGAAGAATGCTGTCCTCCCTGAGTGCCCGACTCCCAGGGCAGCGTGTGTCTTGCGTGTGGGGCCCCTTGGCAGGCTGGCAGGGTGGTGATGCCATGTTAGGCTTAGGAGATTGACTGGAACAAAGCAGCAAAGCTCTTGAGCACTGGCCAGGTGGGGAACCGAGGCACAGGAAGGAGCCACAGGCTTCCTGGCACACAGGCCTGGCAGGCTCGGGCCGGAGAATCCCCGGCAGCAGGTGTGTGGGGCCACGGGCTGAATCAGAAGACTGAGAGATCCCAGGGGGTAACTCCAGTGACTCGGCCGGCCTGAGTCAGGTGCAGGGCCTCGTCTCTCCCCGTGTGTGGAGGCCGCGCCCTCTCCCTGCCTACTTTCCCTAAGGTAAAAGCAACAAGAACTGGGGAGTAGCTCAGGGGTGGAGGCACCCATGCGTGGTGTGGATGAATGTGCTGCCCTCTCTCCCAGCACTGCACAAATCAGAGGAGAGCAACACGTCCCACCCCTGTGAGATGGATGATAGCAAATCCCTGAAAGTTACTCTGATATGGAGGGATGTTGTTTTGTTTTGTTTTAGTTTGGTTTTGAGATAGGGTCTCACTATGTAGGTCGGGCTGGCCTTGAAGTCATGGCAATCCTCCAGCCTCGGCCTACAGGTTTACAGGTGTGTGCCACCACACCCAGCTTTTTCTTAATTGTTCTTTTGGGGTTTTTTTTGGTTTTTTTTTTTTTTCCCTGAAAGGGTTTAGCATTCTTTAGTGATTACAGATTTAAGGGGTCATGCTTGTGCAGTGGGGGAATATTCGAGGTGGAAGGCTTTCTGGAAGGTGAGTTTTGTGTCTTGCCTGTATATCCACAGTCACATTTGTTGTTTTTTTTTTCTCTTTTGGATACAGGGTCTCGCTGTGCAGTTCAGGCTGGCCTTGAGCTCACTTTGTAGCCCAGGCAGGTCTTGAACTCACAACGATCCTCCTGCCTCAGCCTCCCAGTGCTGGGATTACAGGCATGTGCCATCACACCCGACTCCCCAGTCACATTCTGCCTCACTGAATTTTCTTTTTCTTTTTTTTTGAATTTTTTTTTTTGTTGTCG